TAAAAACAACATAATACATGACAACAATGAACTACAATTACATATTCACTTTTATTTTTGTAAGATGTGGAGGCCTAAAAAAAAGTTGTTTGGCTTTTTTGAGGCTCACAGGAACTTAACCCTATTTTTCCCATAAGTTCTTTATTTCATCTAACCTGGTTTTTTTTACTTAACACGGCATTTTCAGGAACGTAACTACCGTGTTAATTAATGGTCTACTATGAATCCAATTAATCCGTTCCACACAAAAATATTCACAAAAAATTCATTTTTTTAGAATAAATACTATAGTTTTGCATAATGAAAACAAAGAGAAATAAATATAAAGCACTAATTATAATGGATAAATGAAGATTTAAATCAGTTTTACCTTTATTGAAGACTCTTGTTGGCATGAGACAAGCAGGAGAGTTTGTTTGGAGGCAGGACAAGATAGTCCTTCAATATGACATTAATATCAACTCTACAGCTTATTTATTTTTATTATTTTTTTTTTATTATCACACTGGCCGATTCCCACCAAGGCAGGGTGGCCCGAAAAAGAAAAACTTTTACCATCATTCACTCCATCACTGTCTTACCAGAAGGGTGCTTTACACTACAGTTTTTAAACTGCAACATTAACACCCCTCCTTCAGAGTGCAGGCACTGTACTTCCCATCTACAGGACTCAAGTCCGGCCTGCCGGTTTCCCTGAACCCCTTCATAAATGTTACTTTGCTCACACTCCAACAGCACGTCAAGTATTAAAAACCATTTGTCTCCATTCACTCCTATCAAACACGCTCACGCATGCCTGCTGGAAGTCCAAGCCCCTCGCACACAAAACCTCCTTTACCCCCTCCCTCCAACCTTTCCTAGGCCGACCCCTACCCCGCCTTCCTTCCACTACAGACTGATACACTCTTGAAGTCATTCTGTTTCGCTCCATTCTCTCTACATGTCCGAACCACCTCAACAACCCTTCCTCAGCCCTCTGGACAACAGTTTTGGTAATCCCGCACCTCCTCCTAACTTCCAAACTACGAATTCTCTGCATTATATTCACACCACACATTGCCCTCAGACATGACATCTCCACTGCCTCCAGCCTTCTCCTCGCTGCAACATTCATCAGCCATGCTTCACACCCATATAAGAGCGTTGGTAAAACTATACTCTCATACATTCCCCTCTTTGCCTCCAAGGACAAAGTTCTTTGTCTCCACAGACTCACCCTTTTCCCCTCATCAACGGCTTATTTATCTATCACAATTCATCTAATATGACATAATAAACAATAATAATAACACAGAAACATGACATATACTCTAGAATGAATAAAATACGTCATTACGTATGACACGACTGGTGTAATGTTGTGTTGTTTGGGTGTATAAGGGCCACTGAGGGCATAACCATAACTGGCAGCAGAGGCGGCGGTGTTTTCAGTCGCCCTATATACCTCAAACAACAGTGGAGGAGTTAAGTTTCGTGTCGTCATTTTTCTATCGCTTAATTGCTTAACTTACTTGCTACACTTTATCGCTGGCTGGCGCTATAACCTGCATCGGCTCGTGCTGCTAGTATTGTACATATCATAGAATCACTGAAGGCACATTCTCCCCTTCTCTTCCTCCTCCACTTTGGTACTTTCCTATAATTTATTTCTTCATTTCTATCATGTTTCTTACTTTCTTTACTGAAGGGATGCCACTAGGAAGTTTCTTTGAGCCCATGGTGGCTTATTTCACAGTCACAATCAATAAACAAGCACTAAACACAATGAATTTATTGTGAAATGTTTGGATGAGGATGCAGGGTAATATTCACTCAAGGATAAACAAAGCTAGACTGGCTCACGACGCCTGCATGGGCAGGTGGACAGGTCTGGTATGCCGGCTGAAACACAGGGCGAAACTCGGGACAAAATTTAGCCAAAAAAAAAAGCAGTCTCAACTTAGGGTTTCACTGTATAATCAATTAAAGCACTAAACCTGAAAAGGTCATTTGCTACAAGGTTGAATGTGTGAAGGTTGCCATCCTAATGCTTCTGACTTTTGAGATTGATTTCTCTGAAGCTAAACTAGTTAATTATATTTTTGTAATGCACTACATTCATATGAGTTATTCACGGATTTGGACCGGTTTGGAATTCATTCATTTCTTCAGATTATCTGGATTTACTTTCAATAAGTTATGGTTCAAACTTCATTTGAATGCAGGATGGTACAATAATTAAATTTAATGTTTGTATTACTATAGGTAGTAGGCTGGCAGACAGCAACCGCCCAGGGAGGTACTACAGTCCTGCCAAGTGAGTGTAAAACGAAAGCCTGTAATTGTTTTACATGATGGTAGGATTGCTGGTGTCCTTTTTTTGTCTCATAAACATGCAAGATTTCAGGTACGTCTTGCTACTTCTACTTACACTTAGGTCACACTACACATACATGTACAAGCACACCCCTCTGGGTTTTCTTCTATTTTCTTTCTAGTTCTTGTTCTTGTTTATTTCCTCTTATCTCCATGGGGAAGTGGAACCGAATTCTTCCTCCGTAAGCCATGCGTGTTGTAAGAGGCGACTAAAATACCGGGAGCAAGGGACTAGTAACCCCTTCTCCCGTAAAAATTACTAAATTTAAAAAAAGAAACTTTCGTTTTTCTTTTTGGGCCACCCTGCCTTGGTGGGATATGGCTGGTTTGTTGAAAAAAAAAAATTACTATAGGTAGTAGGTTGGCAGTTAGCAACTGCCCAGGGAGGTACTACTATCCTGCCAAGTGAGTATAAAATGGAAACCTGTAATTGTTTTACACGATGGTAGGATTGGTGTCGTTTTTGTCTCATAAACATGCAAGATTTCAGGTACGTCTTGTTACTTCTACTTACACTTTGGTCACACTACACTTGCATGTACAAGCATATATATACGTACACACCCCTCTGTATTTTCTATTTTCTTACTAGTCCTTGTTCTGCTTTATTTCCTCTTATCTCCATGGGAAAGTAAATTAGAATTCTTCCTCTGTAAGCCACGTGTGTCGTAAGAAGCGGCTAAAATGCCAGAAGCAAGGGGCAAATAACCCCTTCTGTATATATTACGAAATTCAAAAGGAGAAACTTTCATTTTTTTCTTTTGGACCACCCTGCTTTGGTGGGATACGGCCGGTGCATTGAAAGGAGAAAGTTTGTATTACTAAATGTTATCCCTTCTATAAGTTTTTTTTTTTTTCCAACAACCCAGCCATATTCCACCGAGGCAGGGTGACCTAAAAAGAAAAACAAATTTCTCTTTTTTTAAATTTAGTAATGTATACAAGAGAAGGGGTTACTAGCCCCTTGCTCCTGGCATTTTAGTCACCTCTTACAACATGCATGGCTTATGGAGGAAGAATTCTTTTCCACTTCCCCTTGGAGATAAGAGGAAATAAAGAAGAACAAGAACTATTAAGAAAATAGAAGAAAACCCAGACGAGTAAATATATATGCATGTACATGCATGTGGAGTGTGACCTAAGTGTAAGTACAAAATATACCTGTTGTGTGTATGAGATAGAAAGACACCAGCAATCATACCATCATGTAAAACAATTATAGGTTTCCATTTCATATACACTTGGCAGGATGGTAGTACCTCCCTTCTATCAGCATATCATTATATAATTAGTATTCATAGAGTGCATATAGTCTTTTATTTTTTTTTTTTTTTGTTTAACCCTTTGACTGTCGCGGCCGTATATATACATTTGCGAGGTACCGTGTTTGACGTATATATACTCATAAATTCTAGCGGCTTCAAATCAGGCAGGAGAAAGCTAGTAGGCCCACATGTGAGAGAATGGGTCTGTGTGGTCAGTGTGCACCACATAAAAAAAATCCTGGAGCACGCAGTGCATAATGAGAAAAAAAAAACTCCGACCGTTTTTTTTAATTAAAATGCCGACTTTGTGGTCTATTTTCGTATAGTATTTGTGGTTGTATTCTCGTTTTCTTGGTCTCATTTGATAGAATGGAAACTATATTATAGAAATGGAGGTGATTTTGATTAATTTTACTATAAAAAGAACCTGGAAATGGAGCACAAAGTACAGGAAATGTTTGATTTTTGCCGATGTTCAAAAGTAAACAAATGATGTCATTGTCCAATAAATGTCCAAATAGCCATTCTAATACGCAGTCATGAATGGGTTGATGTAATTTTTACAATTATTACAGTATTGCAGTAGTCTGCATAAAAGTAAATCTTCTATTTTTTGTTTGAATAAAATTTCAAAATAAAAAGCAAGAGTAATATCACAGGGACCTGGAGACATGACTGATGAACAAAGAAAATGTTATTTTAGAGCCAGGAATGTCTGCATTGTTCATTCTGGACCTTATTTTGAAATTGTCGTATTTTTTAATTTTCGTGAAATTGGCCAAATTGCAAATTTCTGACCATGTTATTGGGTAGTTGAAATCGGTAAATGGGCAGTTTCTTGTACTCAATCGATAGAAAAAATAGAGTTCTGAAGAAATAGTTATGAGTTTGGTTGACTGGAATAACGGAATTAGCCGAAAATAGGGCTCAAAGTGGGTGAAATTGCCGATTTTTAAATATCGCCGAAGTCGCTAACTTCGCGAGAGCGTAATTCCGTCAGTTTTCCATCAAATTTCGTTTTTTTGGTGTCTTTACAATCGGGAAAAGATTCTCTATCATTTCATAAGAAAAAATAATTTTTTTTTTTTCGAATATTTTGCGACACCAGAAGCAACTTCAGGATTTGGCCCTTCGACAGTCAAAGGGTTAATATGCTGGCCATCTCCCAAGACAGGAGTGACCGAAAAACAAGAAACACTTTCAGCATCATTCACACTATTACTGTCTTGCAGGGGTGCACAGACACAACAATTCAGAAAACCCTCCAAACAGTAAAACATCCCCACCCCTCCTTTATAGTGCAAGCATCGTACTTTCCAATAGGATGCTGGCTACCAGAGCTAAACTACAGAAAAGCCAATGAAGGTTAATATAAACATATTTCTGAAGTAAAACAAAATTTTATTGTTCTAAATATTCTCTAGATAAATTTATATTCGCTAAACAATAGTGAATTTATAAAATAAATCAACATATACAGGTAATGAGTCCCAGAGCACTAAAACATGCTGTATTTGGGAAGCTCAATTCTTGAAATATACATTGCAAAACAGAATATAGAACCTTCATTGGTAGGTAGGAATAAAAACCAACCTTAAAATAAGGACTGACAATATACATCTTGTTTACACACAAACCAGAAAAACAGTACAGTATTTTTAAATTTCCTATATATATATGCAAGGGGTTATAAATGCCTTGTCTTATGCCCATTAATATTCTGAATGTCATTGCACAACAATGTTCAATATATTCTATGCAGTACATCATTATCACAGGAAATAACTTGAAATTGCAATATTTAACAAAAGGAATATTACATGGATGTTATGAAAAGTTAAGAAGTTTAAATTTAGTATATTCCCTTGCCATTAATTCTTTCTCTAAAGTATAATTTCAGAAAAAAATATTTTGTTAATAATTGAAATTTTGCTGTGAATCAACTACATGACCACATGTAATTTTTCCTTATGTAAACATAAGTGTGTATTAATTACATTGAACTGTTGTGATACAGGTAAGCTTGATGTTTGTCATTACTATAACAATGGTACAGTACAATAGTTATATGTTACAATATCATTACCTCAACACATTTAAATCACCACAGCATATAAAATAAATCTATTTTATGATTCATCATGAAGAATCATATCACGAAAATATTTTTTCTTTAGTCTTGTTCAAAAGCTTTAATAATACATGAACATGTAAAGAAGCAGATACTGTACATTTTGCTTCACTAACCTTCTAAAATATACACTTTTAAATCATGTGTTTGCAAATATCTGAACACAATAGCAAACAGTTTCTTGGGCTGATGCTACACAAACTTGAAATACAAACAAAATACTCCCTAACTATTATCATTATTATTATATTCAAGGAATGTAATAAACCCTAAGGTCACACAGCACTACGAGGAAAAGGAAAAAGAAATAGGGAAGGGGGGGAGGGTAAAGGAAAGGTGGAGGTGTTGATAGAAACATATAAGTAGATAGGACAGGGGTTACAGCTGATATAGCAAATTGGCATTAGTTAACAAATCAGTCTAGAGGAAAGGTGGGATTATCAGAGAGAAGGGCAGACAAAGTTATCAGATCATGATGACCTAGTAACAAAGCACCAAAATATCTATCTAGAAAGACAGTAGATATAATAGATACTGGCATACTTCGATATAAACTGCTCGACTCCCCAATACACTGCTGATATGACATGGCAGTAACTTTCCTTGCTCTGCACTCACCGCATTAGTCACGATGTTGGCAGCTTGTGACTTAATTTATAAACACAAGCAGTTAGCCCTTAGGAAAGGTTATGGAAGTGCTACAGTTGGGTAGCTAACCAATGGGTAAGCAGACACCTATTGTTATTGGTTACCATATTTTGGGTACTTGTGCACAGCCTTTGTTTTTAATTTAAAACAGACAGCAATAACTGTCTCGTATGGTACAGACTTGAAAACTTAGCTCCATTTCAACCTTGTGTAACATTTAATCCTAGCCAAGATGAATACCAAATGAACATTGACAAGGCTTTAAGCCAGAGGAAGACCATTACTTTGGATGTTTAAATTGATATTTATAGCTATATTAAGCAAATTTTCGAAAAGGTTCATGAAATCAACACTGTCTGATAGTAAATTATTGTGTTGGAGAACTGACTAAGTTTGCATTAGGAAAAGGGGAACAAAGGTGGATATTGCCCCAGTCAAAACAAATATCTATTAAGTGTTTATGTTACTTTATGTAAAAGCAAAATAAGCTATGATTTTGTACAGAAAAATATGACATACTGTAATTAAATGGGGAAATCCCCATGAGTTTTGGCAGTACTGCAGGTGGTAGGAGAGGTGAGTTGCCAATTTCCTTCATATTAACTTTAAGGCTGATCAGCTGCATATGATTTATTAAGGCCACAATTCACCAGAACAATAATAAAAAGAAAACTTTAATCCTTAAAATAGATACAATATTAGACTTTCAGTGTATATACACTGAAAGATAGCTATACACTAGAAACAACTGCTGTGAGACAATGTGGGGAGTGTAGAGAGATGGGGAACAATTGGCAAGTGAGAGAATTTTGCTACTGAGTTTACTGACTACTGACTCCAAGACAATCATTAAGGTTACACTCAACTTGGACAATAACATCAAGGACATTAATATCTAGAAAAGATATTAAATTCAGTTAATATACATGAAGATACACTGCTCAGTATGAACTTGTTTATTGTGTGTCTGGCAACTACCCTGTCTCTAGCAATTTTATTTCCTCTACCAAGATATTCCTTTTATCGAGTTACATATAATGGGACTATACTGTTTAGACATTTCTGAATATTAATCATTCTTTTATTTTTTTATTTAATTCTGCTTTGTTGCTTGCTAAAAATGCTGTCAGTTTATTCTGGAATTTCAAGTCATTATTAGAAGTTAAGAATGTGTAACTGGTATCTTTACATTAATTAAAAGCCACCAGCAGTGTATAATCACCACCAGCAACCCTCCAATACAGGTAGTGTTTAATGTATCATGTATGAAAACGAAGAGACTGAACTATAAGAATCTAATTTTCTAACAATTTATCATTAATTCATCTTCTCAAAATTGTGATGGTTGGTTGGCTGCTGATAAATGGATATGTCCAACACCTGTGAGATGACCCTTATACCACCCCTTCCCTCCCTCCACTCCCCACAGACAACAGAATGTATACAGACAAGCATGGACACTTTTTAGCTGTCAAGTTAAACATTTTATTTGATTATATAAATGTCTACACAGCTGATGCAATATATAGATGAAACTGAGATTTTTCATTTCAAGCTTTAAAGAGATGAGAGCATAAGGAGAAAGGAGCACTACAGTATGACTGCTGACCCATGATAGACTAATCCTAGTCACACCCAGCAACCTCCATCACTTTTCTCACAAATCCGCATCTCTCAGCATACACAAGTTTTACATGCATATATTTTTAAGTAAATTTAATAACAAATATTTTTTCCTCGACACACTAGTTTTTTTCTTCAAGTTTGAAAACCCCCATTGGAGGTTAAAGGTTGATAACGTTAGTATTTTCTGGTTCCAACTCTAAAAGTATATTGAGGTAAGCCTATATATAAACAATATTAAAAGAAAGAATATATAAAATTGACTGAAGAATAAATAAAGTGCTACTCAACTAACCAAAATATAAATATAATGTAGTCCTATACTGAGAAAAGTACTGTACTTCTGATACATCATAATTAGCATATAATGCCATTACTCTATTCTGAAATAATGTAAAAAAAAAAAAAATATTACATATATAATTAACTCACATATCCCAAATTTTCTTAAAAGATTTCAACTGTGTTCCATTATTTAAAAACTGCATGCACAAACTTGGTATAAATTTGTTGACAAAAAATATTGCAATTGTATACAACTGATAATAAAAATCAGAATAGCATCAGCCAACAGGAAATGTTTCCTAATGTGATCTATAAACTGTTATCATTACCATGAAAGATGCAGTTCAACTTACATTGTAAAGCACCTCCTGTAGGCAAGAGGCATATAGAACCAAAGAGAGAAAAAGAGTAGGTACCATTGTGGAAGATAGACAATACAAGATGTTAATTCATGAGAAAGGAGAGACTGATGACAATGATACATGTATGTCTCATGTTCCATAACTCCACCACAGTAATATGGTTTCAAGAATGCTCTTACAAGAAAATGCACAAAAATAACCAGTTCTGATTTTACAAAATTATGGTTCACAGTTATAAGGCTAACAGTATTTTTGAATTGCTTATGACAACTAATAGTATGCTAAAAAAATGAAATTAGTTTCAAAACTCAATTAAAAACTACCAAATGACCCAAATTATGGAGATCCACATACGACATTAATGAATTACCATAGTATTTGTTCACTAAATTCTTTCATGAAAACTGTAAACTAAAATAATGCCGTAACACAAAGATAAAGGTACCAAGATGTCATAAGATTTTTGTTCTCCACAGCTAATTTTCCTACTTACAGCAATGACTACAGAGATAGGCATGCACACAAACAGGCAATCATTTATGAAATTGGTAGAATAAAACATAAAAATTCATTACCCTAAAATATACCTTCTGAAGTATACACAAAACAAAAATAACAACAGCAGTGTGTGTGAAAACACCAGTGTGTGAGAACACCAGTTTGGAAACATCAGCAAATCAAAGAGACTGTGTTAAAATCCAATGAGAGTGCTTCCAGACTAGTGAGTGAGTTGAGAGAAATGAGCTATGCCTCATGAAGAAAAAATAATAAAAGAGGATGATTATGAGACAAAATACTCTGAATACTCTAGGACATACGGTAAACAAAGATAGATTCTTTATCACCAGGGAAGACACTAGGACATGAGGGTATGGATACAAACTACATACCCAAATGAGGCAGTGTGTGATTTGAAAATATCTCAAATGTGTGGTAAAGAAGTGCTATGACTTAGATAATGAAACTGGAAGAAGACTCCATAGTAGGCTATTTCACGTAACTCGGTAGAAAATTAAAAGGATTCAGAACTAGAGATCAACTTATTCCTCCATTAAAATCAAATAGGAAATTACACATGCCCATAAACACATTGAAAATACTACTGTTTTCTCAACAAATGCCATTAATCACTATTATCCATATTCCTCATTCTGTATTCAATGAACAAGTTTTGTATTTTTCCATTAACATTCAATATTACTTTTCACTATCCAGTAAGGCAACAACTGCAGAATCCCTTTTCATTAATTCAATCATCTCACAACACCCTACACTATTCTGACACCTGCCACTCATACTTCCTCTACCCTCCCACAGTACTCTCTTTCTCCTCCTCCTCTGCCCTAACCCCTCCCACATTGCTCTTATTCCTTTCCTCCAGCCTAACCCTTGCCTCTCAAGCTCTCACTAAAGTACAGCATGTAATACAGTGCAATATAAACCTAGAGGAAACTTGTATAAAATGCATTATACTCAGCCAGAGATTGCAACCATCTTTATAGGAGCTGTGGCCCTTGTAGTAAAGGGTCAGAGGCAGAGAAGCAGGACACGCCAGACAGACATCAGGCGATCACCAAAGGCTCATCATCGGAAAATCCACGGATCATGGGAGAGTCATCATCTTCATCTGCAAAATTTTTCAGTTTATATTAAAGCAGCAATAAATATAGGATAAATAATGAAATGAGACATGATTATTAACACTCTCTCCCTACCATGCAGCCACTGTTGGCATAAACCAGTGGGAAAATACCATACTATTCTGCACTGGAAAACAGTAATGGATATTTTATAGGAAAGGTTAGAGTAAATGGAAAGCATGGGATGCAGCTAACTCTACTATGATGTACTACTATTACAATTACTTGTTCTATTTTAGCATCAGACACGGAGCTGTGTTTACCACTAATACTTCTAATACTATGTTCCAGGTGAACTGTGTAGTTCTGGAACTGCTTCTAGGAAATGGTGACCACTGCCTATTGTGGACTGTAACTGGTAGAACTGTATACTATTAGCTTGCTGTGCTTACATTAAAAAAAAAAAAAGTGATCTGATGTAGCACTGTCCATGGAGGCAAAAACAGGTATGTTTCAGAGTATAGCAGTACCAACACTTATATGACTGTGAAGTATGGGTTTTGAACACTGCAGCATGAAGGAGGCTGGAGGCAGTGGAGATGTCAAGTTTGAGGGCAATGTGTGGTGTGAATATTATGCAGAGAATTTGTAATCTGGAGATTAGAAGCAGGTGCGGGGTTACTAAGAGTATTATGCAGATGGTTGAGGAGGGATTGCTGAGGTGGTTTGGATATTTAGATAGGATGCAGCCAATTATGACGGAGTGAGTTAAGGAGGTTTTTGTGTGAGGGGCTTGGGTATCGAACTGGCAAGCATAAGCATGTTAAATAGGACTGAGTGGAGGAAAGTGGTTTTATGATTTGATGTGCTACTGGAGTGTGAGCAAGGTTACATTTATGAAGGAACACAGCAAAACTGGTTAGCTGGACTTTAATCCTAGAGGTGTGAAGTACAGTGCCTGCACTCTGAAAGAGGGGAGGGGATATTGCAATTTGGAGAGGCATCTGAGCAGTGGTGTCAGTGCACCTCTGGCAGAATGGTGATAGAGAGAGTTATTTAGGGTCCCCCTGCCTTTGTGAGAGATGAATGGAGTTTCAAAAGAGACACACAAAGAGGGGGATTACCAAAGGTATAATTCAGAGAGATGAGGAGTTGTTGAAGTGGTTGAGAACTCAGAGGATGAAATAGAATAGGATAACCAGGAGGGCATATAAATCTTGGGTGGAAGGAAGAAGGGGTAGGGGGGATTAAGGTGGTTTTTGAGTAATGTAGATTTGAGCATCCACCAGCCTTGTGTAAGCGTATTAGATCAGAGTAAATGGAGATCGAGTGGTTTATATGGCTTGACATGATATTGGAGTGTGAACAAAAATATATATGAAGAGCTTCAAGGAAACTGGTTAGCTCATCTTGAATCCTGGGAGTGGTGAGTATAGTTCCTGAACTCTGGAGAGGTGAAGATGTTGCGGTCTGCAATTGTTTGAATTGTGATACCTGTACACTGCTCTCATAGACAGATATTCAACAGATATTCAATATGTGATGGTAAACACATTTCCTTTTCTAGGGTCACTGTGCCTTGGTAGAAAACAGTGCCAGTGTTAACCCTTTAACCCTTTCAGGGTCCACAGGCCCTCTCAGAGACTTGTTCTCAGGGTCCCCCAAATTAAAAAAAAAAAACAAACAAAAAAAAAAAAACTATTTTTTCTCATGAAAAGATAGAGAACCTTTTCCCGAGCATAATGACACCAAAAGTATGAAATTTGATGGAAAACTTACGGAATTATGCTCTCGCAAAGTTAGCGGTCTTGACGATGTTTACGCATTGGCGATTTTGCCCACTTTGAACCCTATTTTCGGCCAATTCCAGTGTAGTTGACAAAAATCGTAACTATTTCGCTAGAACTCCATTTTTTCTATCGAATGAGTACAAGAAACCACCCATTTACCAATTTCAACTATCCAATACAGTGGTCAGAATTTAGCAATTTTGCCAATTTCACACAAATTTCAAAAGATGCCAATTTCCAAATAGGGTCCAGAATAAACAAGAAAGACATTCCGGGCACTAAAATACCAAGTTCTCTGTTCGTTAGTCACATCCCCAGGCCCCTCTTATATTTCTTTGGCTTTCCACTTTGAATTTTTATTCTTACAAAAAAAATTAGATTTACTGTTATGCAGACTACTGCATTAGTGTAGAAATGGTATAAATAATATCAGCACACTTGTGAAAGAATATTAGACTCACCAGTTGACGTGTATTGGATGCTTGGCATGATTTGTTTACTTTTGAACTTTGGTAAAAATCGAACATTTCTGCTACCTTGAGCTCAATTTCAAGGTACTTTTCATTGTAAAACAAGTCAAAATCATCTTAATTTCTGTAATATGTCTTCCATTCTATAAAATGAGACCAGGAAAACAAGAATACAACAATAAATACCATACGAAAATACAGTGCAAAGTCACTGTTTTAATCCAAAAACACGAAGTTTTTTTTTTCTTATTATGCACTGTGTGCTGCAGGATTTTTTTTATACTGCACACACTGACCACATAGACCCATTCTTTCATATGTAGGCCTACCAGCTTTCTCTCGCTAGATTTGAGAGCGCTAGAATTTAGGCATACTAGTACGTCAAAAACTCTGGGGCATAAGCCGTACTAGTACGGCCGAAACTCTGAAAGGGTTAACCGTTTCGGCTGTATATATACGTCTTACAAGCCAGTGTTTCAGACGTATATGTACCGAATAATTCTAGCGGGTTCAAATCAAGTAGGAGAAAGCTGGTAGGCCCACATGTGAGAGAATGGGTCTGTGTGGTCAGTGTGCACTATAAAAAAAAGCCTGCAGCATGCAGTGCATAATGTGAAAAAAAAGACTCCGACCGTGTTTTTGGATTAAAATGCCGACTTTGAGGTGTGCTTTCGTATAGTATTCATGGTTGTATTCTCGTTTTCTTGGTCTCATTTGATAGAGTGGATAACATATTACAGAAATAGAGACGATTTTGACTAGTTTCATGATGAAAATGACCTTGAAATTGAGCTCAAAGCAGCGGAAATGTTCGATTTTTACGAATGTTCAAGAGTAAGCAAATCACATCACACGTCCAATACATGTCAACTGGGGAGTCTAATATTCTTTCACTAGTGCACTGATATTATTTATACCATTATTACAATAATGCAGTACTCTGTATAACAGTAAATCTTCTAGTTTTGTGTGAATAAAAAATAAAAATAGAAAGAAAGAGAATTATAAGAGGGGCCTGGAGATGTGGCTAATGAACAGAGGATATGTTATTTTAGTGCAAAGAATGTCTGCATTGTTTATTCTAGACACTACTTTGAAATTGGCATCTTTTTTAATTTGTGCAAAATTGGCCAAATTGCCAATTTCTGACCACTTTATTGTGTAGTTGAAATTAGTAAATGGGCAGTTTCTTGTACTCAATTCATAGAAAAAATGGAGTTCTATAGAAATAGCTACAAGTTTGGTCAACTGGAACAATGGAATTGGCTGAAAATAGGGCTCAAATTCAACAAAATAGCAGATGCGTATATATCGCCGAGATCGCTAACTTCATGGGAGCATAATTCCGTATCATTTCATAAGAAAAATTTTTTTTTTTTTTTTTACAAAAATTTTGCGACATAGAATAACAGTTTCAGAAATGGGCTTGCAACAGTCAAAGGGTTAAAAAAAAATCAAGGAAAACATTGGTGCCTGAATTTAGGGAAATGAGCTTATTGGGTAATTACATCAGTATAGTGAGATGAAATGAAAAGTATAGTATAGTATTAATGAATTTAAGCCCTTAAAATATCTGAATGATGTAAGCCCCCCCCCCCCCAAAAAAAAATCAAACTTACCTAAATTGTGATCTGTAGTGATATGAGTGGTGCCTTGCGAACGGTCATAGTGAGTGTTTGCAAAAGTAAGGAATGAGCGTGCCAGCCGTCGATGCCTCACAGCTAACACTCCTACAACCATAATTAAGGCTACCACTACTAGGAATACAGATACAGAAACACCAACCACACTGCTCTGTGACAACACTAATTCATCCCCTGTAAATAAAAGGAGCTCATTAAGAGAAGGCCAGACCAAGATGCTTTAATGCACCAGCTAATACAAAGTTTATATATTTTTTTTTTTTTCAACAAGTCGGCCATCTCCCACCGAGGCAGGGTTTATAAGTTTATAATTAACATTTACAATTTTAACTAGGCACAAAAATTTCTAATTTAAAAAATCTGATTGGTTGACAGTTACGGGTGTTATTCCTGGCCAAACATTCAAGCCTATTATCATACATATCTGCAAACAAACAAAAATAATGCGAAGAAAAATTATACAGCTACAGCAAGAAAAAAGGAAGAAAAGTGTAATGGAGAGTGTTCATTAATGGAGTTCGTTGACTGGTGAAGGACCTCGACTAGTAGTGTGTGCTGACTGGTGTAATGTGTTGAAAGATGCAGCATGTCACGTGATGGAGTGTATTGCTTAGTGTGGTGTGGTTTAGGGTAGGGTTTCAAAAGTGTGTGCTATGTTTAATGACAATGCAAAGAGGCCTTAAGTTATTTCATGAAAATTTAAACACTGGATATACTGTAATTAAAACAACCGAGGCATTCCACATGGTGGGATAGCTAAGTAATTGCTGAATAAAGTAGTATTTATTTAAAGCAGGTGCACTTCCTTAACAATATCTTTATTCAAGCAAAATGTAAAAACACGATAAAATCTTACCGAGTGGTTTCTCAACTCGAATGAGCTGTGATCGTGGTGATAAATAGCCATGAGAATCCTTGATAGCAACAGCAGCATAATAAATAATTCCTAAGGACAAGCTATTTATAACCAGAGGGGGTTTGGCACACTCATATGTGCTTGCTTTGCTCATGTTTCTTGCCCTGGCTATGTACAGAACATAGCTGCAGCTGAAAGATAATGCATCTTCATCATATAATACTGTAGAAAAAATCTGACTGACCAGAACTAAATTCTAAAACACAAATACAGTACATGAGAATTACGATTACCTTATCTTACTTAAAACCCTGCAATGTGCAGTACTTCATCACCATACTTTACAAAAATATACTGTAAACTAAATTACAAAAAGGCATGCTATAATTTTAAAGTTAATATCACCATTAAATATAAAAAATGAGTCTAAATGTTAAAAGTTATATTTAATAATAATGGAGAGAAGAAAATGGAAAGATGAGTACTGAACAAATGTTTTGAGGGACCTTCAAAGGCTGAGAACAGTAGTGTGTGCATCAGGTTATCAATCTTTGTGATCATTAATGAATGCAACACAAGTCTCTTATTGATAACTAAGTAAAATATGGTAGCAACTGAGGTTAATAACATAAAATGAACTGCAGGATTAAGAGAAAAAAAAGTTAATACAGTACATATGAAACATAGGAAATGAGTGAAAAAACTGTGCGAAAGAATGAGGTGCTGAAATTGTACCACCATTTAAAATGATTGTGAGGAGTGAAGATTAGAATACATGTCGGTGATCTATAAGGTACACAATATAAATTGCTAAACCACATGCTAGATGGGCAGACAGGTGGACATGCAATTATAAAATTCAAGTTATAGGTGTTTTTAAGAATGATTATAAACTATGTGCATCTGAAGAAAATTAAGAGAGAAGAGGGGAATAGACTCATGAAGGCACACAACTCTCTTGATTGACTTCACATACACATAACAGATAATTATAACACAATTTGAGTGATGGTGAATTTCTTGTGTGAATTGAATCATATAGTGTCGTGTATACAACCGGTCTCATCCTAGTTGTAAGAAACTGGCTGCATTGCTTATGTGATGAGAATGGTGCACACATAATATTCAAAACAACTGGAAGGTTTTCAGCTGTACAAAATATAAATATCTGATACTCAAACTAGATATACATGTAAACAGCTGATATGTGAAATTTTTCTCGGGCCAAATGATTACTGTCTTTGGTCAAAACTGACAAAACATTAATGCCATGTATGGAATGCCAACAAGGCATGCTTTGACCACTGATGAATGCAAATTTGTCCAAGCATAAAACAGAATCCCCTTTGCACACAGAGCTATCCAGCAGTTTGAAGATCCACAAATGAAAGATTATTTATGGATTCAGAAAAGGCATATGATAGGGTGGATAGGGACAGAGGAGCAATGCTGCAGATGCTACAAGTATATGAAATAACTGGTAGGTTACTTAAGCAGTTAAGAGTTTTACTGAGGATAGTGAGAGGTGGTTTGGTCATTTAGAGAGGGTGGAGTAAAATAGGACGACTTGGAGGGTGTATAAACCTATAGTGGAGGGGAGGAAGGGGTAAAAAAAGGTTTTGTGTGCAAGGGGCTTGGACATACAGCAGGCATTTGTGAGTGTTGTTAGATAGAAGTGAATAGAGATGAATGGTTGTTGGGACTTGATAAGCTGTTGGAGTGTGAGCAGGGAAATAATTTGTGAAAGGATTCAGAGAAATCAGTTAGCCAGACTTGAGTCCTGGAGGTGGAAAGTACAATGCCTACACTAACCCTTTCAGTGTCAGTCCCATTATATCACGGCTTTGAAGCCAGTGTTGTTCCTGTAGTACGATGCCATGAGCTCAGCTCGCTCAGATAAGCTGTGAGCAGTAAACTTGGGCCTTGATATGAGAAAATGGGTCTATGCAATAAATTTCTTTTTTTTATTATTAACACATCGGCCGATTCCCACCAAGGTTTCTTTTTTTTATTATTAACACATCGGCCGATTCCCACCAAGGCAGGGTGGCCTGAAAAAGAAAAACTTTCATCTTTCACTCCATCACTGTCTTGCCAGAGGGGTGCTTAACACTACAGTTACAAAACTGCAACATTAACACCCCTCCTTCAGAATGTAGACACTGTACTTCCCATCTCCAGGAATCAAGTCCGGCCTGCCGGTTTCCTTGAATCCCTTCATAAACACTACCCTGCTCACACTCCAACAGCACATCAAGTATTAAAAACCATTTGTCTCCATTCACTCCTATCAAATATGCTCATGCATGCTTGCTGGAAGTCCAAGCCCCTCGCACACAAAACCTCCTTTACCCCCTCCCTCCAACCCTTCCCAGGCCGACCCCTACCCCGTCTTCCCTCCACTACAGATTTATACGCTCTCGAAGTCATTCTGTTTTGTTCCATTCTCCCTACATGCCCGAACCACCTCAACAACCCCTCCTCAGCCCTCTGGATAATAGTTTTGATACTTACACACTTTCTCCTAATTTCCAAACTACGAATTCTCTGCATTATATTCACACCACACATTGCCCTCAGACATGACATCTCCACTGCCTCCAGCCTTCTCCTTGTTGCAACATTTATCACCCATGCTTCACACCCATACAAGAGTGTTGGTACAACTATACTCTCATACATTCCTCTTTTTGCTTCCACGGACTAAGTTCTTTGTCTCCTCAGACTCCTCAGTGCACCACTCAGCCTTTTCCCCTCATCAATTCTGTGATTCACCTCATCCTTCATAGACCCATCTACTGACACGTCCACTCCTAAATATTTGAATACATTCACCTCCTCCATACTCTCTTCCTCCAATCTGATATCCAGTCTTTCGTCACCTAATCTTTTTATCCTTATAACCTTACTCTTTCCCATATTCATTTTTAATTTTCTTCTTTTACATACCTTAACAAATTCATCCATCAACCTCTGCAACTTCTATTCAGAATCTCCCAAAAGCACCGTTTCATCAGCAAAGAGCAACTGTGACAACTCCCACTTTGTGTTTGATTCTTTATCTTTTAACTCCACACCTTATGCAACAAGTGTGTACCATATAAAAAAAAATCCTGCAGCACACAATGCAGAATGAGGAAAAAAATGCGACTATTGTTGATTTAAAACAGTGACATTTGCAGTGTATTTTTGTGTGGTTTTATGGTTGTATTCTCAGTTTCTTGGTCCCATTTGATAGAATGGAAGATATATTACAGAAATAGATATAATTTTGATTAGTTTCAGGACTGAAAGTAGCTTGAAACCGAGCTCAAATTAGCAGAAATGCTCAATTTTTGTTGCTATTCCAGAGTGCACAAATGACATCACTTGTCTAATACGCATCCAACTAGACATTCTAGTACGCATTTAGGAATGCATGGACATTACTTATACAATTACAATAATGCAGTAGCCTGCATAACAATAAAGCTTCTATTTTTAGTGTGAATAAAAATTGAAAATTAAAAGCAAGTGTAATATAAGAGGGGCCTGTAGATGTGACTGATGAACAGAGAAAATGTTATTTTAGTGCCAGGAATGTCTATAATGTTTATTCTGGACCCTATTTTCAAATTGGCAATTTTTGAATTTTGCATGAAATTGGCCAAATTATCGATTTCTAATCACTTTATTGGTAAATGGGCAGTTTCTTGTACTCAATCAATAGAAAAAAAGAATACTAGTGAAACAGCTATGAGTTCGGTGGACTGGAACAATGGAACTGGCCAAAAATAGATCACAAAGTGGGTGAAATCACCGATGAGTAAATATCGTCAAGACCGGAAACTTTGCAAGAGCATAATTCCATAAGTTTTCCATCAAATTTTGTACTTTTGGTATCATTACCTTTGGAAAAAGATTATCATTGCATGATAATATCACTTCTTTCATTTTTTTTTTTAAATTCTTCGACTCTGAGAGCAAGTCTGAGACAGGGGTCTCAACACTGAAAGAATTAAAGGAGGGGTTTGGGATATTTGCTCTTTGGAGCGACACATGAACTGTTGTATCTGCGCACCCCTGCAAAGACAGTAATTATGTGCGAATAATGATGAAAGTGTTGAACGATGCTGATGGTGAAAGTGTTTCTTTTTCAACATGCTGGCCGTCTCCCACCCTGCCTCGGTGGGAGGTGGCCAGCACATTGAAAAAGTGAAAGGTTAATTATTTTCCAGTAAAAGTAGGCCTTAGACAGAGATGTGTGATGTCATTATGGTTGTTTATCATTTACAGATGGGGACTGGAAAAGAAGTGAATGTTAGGGTGATGGGGAGAGGTGTGAGATTAAAAGATAAAGAATCAAATAAAAAGTGGGAGTTGTCACAGTTGCTTTCTGCCAGTGACATGGTAATATTGGGAGTCTAAAGTGAAGTTGCAAAGTTTGGTAGACAAATTTGGGAAGGTTAGTAAATGAAGGAAATGAAATAACACAGGAAAAAGCAAGGTGAAGAGAATAACCAAAAAATTAGGTAATGAAACATCGGATATCAGACTGGAAGGAGAGAGTATGGATAAAGTGAACTTGTTCAGATAATTGGGAGTGGACTTGTTGGAGGACAGGTCTATGGAAGATGAGGTGATATCATAAAATGGATAAAAGGAAAAAAGGTGGGTGGTTCATCGAGGCACTTGTAGAAACAAAGAACCTTATCCATGGATGCAAATGTACCAGAGTATAGTACGTAGTACTAATACTCTTTCTTGTATGGGTATGAAGCATGGGTTTTAAATATTGCAGCGAGGAGGCTGCAAGCAATGGAGATGTCACATCTGAGGGAAATGTTTGTTGTGAATATTATGCAGAATTCAAAGTTTGCCATTAGAAGATGAGAGGTTACTAAAAGTATTATCCAGAGGGTTGAGGAGGGGTTATTAAGGTGGTTTGACCATTAAGTGAGGATGGAGCAAATTAGGATGACTTGGAGGGTGTACCAATCTGTAGTGGAGGGAAGGAGAGACAAGGACTGTCCTTCAAAAGGCTGGATAGAGAAAGTGAAGGGGGCTTGGGCATCCAACAGGAATGTGTGAGCGTGTTAAATATGAGTGAAGGCAAGCGATTCAGGAAAACCAATTAGCTGGGCTTTAGTCCTGGAAGTAGAAAGTACAGCACCTGCACTCTGAAGGAGGTGGGGATATTGCAGTTTGGAGG